AACAGGTGGGGGTGAGCACAAATGGAATCCGTGGTGCTCACCACTATGCACGTAAATAACAACATAATGAAACAAGGGGTATGGTCGCAGTATGAACATAAATTAATTCAACATGTCACATCTCCAATCAACACACAAATTCACATTACTCATGTGTACACACCTATCATTAACTACTGCTAGTCTTTTCGAAGGAATCACCATATGTCTTACATTGTCAACCAGACAGTTGGAGTACATGTGGAAGGAATCGCCATGTAACTTACATCGACATACATATCGAAGGCATCGCCATGTGACTTACAACAATATGACCTTTCATTAGGACTTAGGGAGACTGCCTCACAAGAGCACCGTCGAAGGACGTACAACTCAAATCGACGGGGACAACCGTTTGAAGGAGATCCAGCTCACATCGAAGGTTACATGGTTCACATGCATACATTGATCATACCAACTCAACAACAAATAAACCATTTACGACATATAAATTTTAGAATAACAACCCACCTGATTATCGAAATGGTAAATTCACACAAAGCAAGCAATTTTAGGTCGAGAATTCAGATCGTCGAACCTACATTTATCAAGATAGCCCTATAAATAACTATCCAACACATGAACACACTTATAAAAACATTCACTTGATTCAACTCAGCTCATATAAGTCATATAAGTACGCATTTAAAAAGTAAACCCTATTTCCGACAACATGAGTTTTTCAAAACTTAACCCGCACAATGTTTTTAAAATAAACATAACTTGCAGCACACATGCCATATCAATGTAATTCCAATTTCATATGAACTCTAAGACATGCAGCTACAACTCTTATGCAGACATCGATAACAGATAAGGTCATTTATTAGGAGATAATTTGACAAACATTCATAACAGAGTTGCAGTCAGAAAACTGAAATTATACTACATAGAGAGCTTCAGTAATTATCATATAATTCATGCTAAACCTTCAAACGTCATGATTAAGAAACCAATAGACAACTAAGAGGTAAGGTTACAACTTTGATGCAGACCATGTTTCAGTTTTAGCACATATATACATCGAAAACATGTTGGACATTTAGTATATACTTGTTGTCCGGTTTACTGAAAACTGCTTGCACAATCTTTTTGTGAAAGTCATATCTCACTCAACGTAAATCAGATTTTCAAAATTCCAAAGCCCACTGAAAGATAACATGATAAACTACAATTCATATGCAGAACATATTTCAGAAAACTAATTATTGATGGTCATAACAGAGGCACAAACTAGACCGTAAAAATGTGATTAATCATGACATATGTTATTCAAAAATTCGAAAAGGCCACCGATCGATTTTCTAAATTCACGAAACTTTCCAGATCATTTATAAACATCAAATAGAGTCCAAATTCACAAGGATTCATGAGTTTGTTCAAGATTTAACAAGGGTATATCAATAATTTCTCAATAACAATTTAATTCAACAATTAACATATAGGTTCATCTCCAAATCATCAAGTTCCAATAAAAACTCAACCAAGGCATAACATATAATATGAAAACACATAAAAATAGAGGGTTTCAGCCATCAAATACGACAACTAAGCGTAACTCGCGGCCGCGGGCTTCATCTCGCGATCGGTGGAGGGGGAATCGCCGGGTGCTGCGATGGTCGGGCGTGGTGGCGTGGCACGGTGCCGCAGGACCTTCACGATGCCATGGAGTGATCGGCTTGAGAGTGGCGATTAGATGAGAATTTTTAGCGAGGGATGAGAAGGGTTTTCTTTTCTTACGAGAGAGAAGTGAGATGAGAAGGGTTTTACGTAAAAATAGAAGGGAAGGAATGTTGAACCCATATATATAAACTTAGGGTACAAAGCTTGCCAACCAAGCTAAGTGAAAAGGGGCCGGGCGCGAGTGCAAGTTCGGGCCGATGTCACGGGGCTGGGTCTCCTCTTCTTTCGACTCTCGTTCAACTTAATTAATTACTAAGCTCGATTCGATCGCACGACGTCTGGGATAATTAAATAAAATACAACCGACCATATATATATATATCAAAATACCATTCATTAATAATTGGCAATTAATAACAATTAAGCAATTAATAATAATGACAATAATAATAATGCAATAATAAAATAATATCCGAAAAGTCCATCAAATCCAATAATCGAATGGGGCGCTACAGTGCTAGAATTAATTTTTCAGACTTTAGATATTTTAGTCAAAGATTTTTAGAGGAGTTTGAAAAAAGGTTAAGAAAGAAAGGAAATTAATAAATTTTGAAAGAGAAACCCGAAGAGTTAATCGAGAAATTAATTAACCAAACGAAGTAATTATCTTGCTAAGAAAATATATTAAAGTTAGATAAGAAAATAAGATTTAAAAAGAAGTTAAGTCAAGCGAGCCATCGGTCCAGTTATGAGCCGGTCTGGGCCGATCTCCGAGGTTTCGGTTCGAGCGTGAACCGAGACTTTATAAGTTCCGAACAGAGTCACCCGAGTTAAATTACAAACGTAGTTTCGAACTTCTGAAAAATTATCCGAGAACCTTAGTCAACATGTAATTAAATTATTTGGGCTTATTAAACATATTATTCTCAGCAAGCCCATAAAAGATGTCAAAAGAATAAGTTAAGAAAATAAGAGAAGTTAAGTAAAAACCAAACAAACAAGCAAGTTAAGCAAGAAACGAAAAGCTAAGTAAGAAGGAGAAAAGCAAAGAACAAATAAAAAAAAAGTTTACTAGTGAAGCAAAAACATTTAGAAAATAATTGCTTAAATTTTTGTAGCTTAAGGAGAGTCGAGCCTTCGTCAGCTACGAGCATTCCAACACTTGTGCTATAAGTCCAATCAGGTGGGGACCCTGTTCAGGGTATTACATCGTCTATAATTGCGTTACCATGTATGAGGTATGTGTGTGAGTATTTCCCCTAGTATGGGAAAGTTAGATCGACTGGAGGGAGGCTCAATGACCTTAATTCAGGTTTTGATGGTACCAGTGAGCTTTATATTATCCCATCAGAGTGTGCACGTGATTACCGACCAGTTCACTGGGATATAATCAGAGTTCAGTTAGATGCATATATGTCAATTTCATGATATTGTTATTATAGTGGTTGTTTATTCAGTGCCGGTTTCTGCAGAGCATAGTGGTTTTGATCGCGCCCCCACTCTTTATTTTTTTTAGGTGATGGAATCCAGCGTGGCGAGCGAGCTAGGTGGTGGTGGTGGTCCAATAATAAACATGTTTTGAAAAACAAATATCAATCCAGTTTTCAGAAAGCAAGATAGTAAGTAAAGTAACATCCCGCGAGTAAGTTAAAGAGTTTTCAAAAAGTTTAAGCAGTATTTTCGAAAATAAAACACAAAAAATGTACTCTGATTTTCGTAAATTCAATAATAGCAAAGCGGTGTGTTACTGTTTGGATATGCATGTTTTATATATTTTTGCACAAAATAAATTTATGTAGCATTTTCAAGAACATTTTAGCTATTAATTCTATACCTGTTATATAACATTTTTGGTACTATTTGGATAGGTATGTTTTATATATTTTTTCACAAAATTAAATTTATGTAGAATTTTCAATAAGTTAGTGTAGCAAAATTGTATTACATAATATTAACTTATTTTTTTTAATTTATAAATATTACTTAATATCACATCCTTGTTTATTAATAAATTTTAAAGTGGTTTTAGCCTTAAAAACTATTCCAGATAAGGCGGATTTTGAATTGTTGAGAACGTGTTTGTATAAAAGGAATCGGCTCAAAATGTGAGTTTTTTTTTTTAACCACAATTAATTTTGATTTTATATTAAAATAATATTTAAAATAAAATAATTAAACTTGATTTGATGTAAAAGTAGAAGATCGATGGTGTGGACGGATTGCTAGTTAAAATTATGTGAAAAAAGTAATAATAAATTAAAGTTGATGTGATGTATAAAAATAATAAGTTGATATTATTCAGTTATATTAATAACATTGAAAGTAGTTTACTTAGTTGAAAGTTGAATTAAACTTTAAGGATGAATTGAGTATGAATTGAAATTTTTCATAGCTCTTATTATTCTTTTTGAACAAGGAAAAGGAAAATGGGGACGCACGAGGCTCAAAAAGACTCGGAAAAAGGAAGCAGATCTAAATGCTCAAACCTCTCCATATATATAGGATTTACTATTTCCAGATATATATTATATTATTGAAAATATTGGGTTGCGTCTTTCTTCTCTCTCTCTCTCTTACTTTTTCTGTTATTTACCAAGAGATCCTTCGCCGCCATGTGCAAATTCTGTCTCTGAAGATTTCGAGTTTCACCTTCTTGCTTGCATGTGGATTATATTTAATTTTGCTTCCTTTCATCTGTATAACAGTGAAGACTCACTGTGAAAGATCACTTCTTTAGTAATTCGGGGCTTTTTTCTGCGCCATCAAGCAGGTTGGTTGTTGACCCTTTTCTTTACTGAATCGATTTATTTATTATTAATGGTATTGTCTGCGGAAATTCGATATCTTTTTGGGTTTAACTTATTCTATTTTTTTTTTTTTTTTTT